TGCCGTTTAGTTCTCCGAGCAGTGGTTCCATTGGCCATTGCAAACTGAATTTCCGATAATTGCTTTCCGCACCGCCTAAAATGATAATTAAATTCCTGGTCGCGCTATTACCCATGGCAAGCTATTGTCGTCATAATGGCCTTTCAGGCGAGTGTACCGGGAAGGGAAGTCGTTGGCTACATGTAAGGATATGTTCTGCAAACAACATCTCCTGACCCTATTTGCAACGAACAAAATGACCGGCAACCCCTCAGTTTCGACCATCGGAACATCGTCGTTGCTGGAACGTGGAAAGTGTTAACGGTTTAATTAATCACGCGTTTTCCAACGCGAATAGCCTCTGACCGGCCGCGTTTATAGTTGAACAGTTGCGCCGTACGTGGAAAATTATGGGGCCACACCAAGTACCAAGGTAGGAGAGATGTATACGTATATGTGTGACACTCTCTGTCAAACTTGGGAGAAAGAAGCGGTGAAATATGCGGGTTGACTAAATTATTCGGAGGACCGGGTAACATACTCTTCCACGAGTATGTTATTCTCCTCTCCACTCTATAATATTGCACACGGTATGTCAGAAGGGATCGTGTTGGAGTTTTTGAAAGGTGAGAGTGGTCTTTGTTTCGCTATGACGTCTTTGTGTGAGTGGGTGTGTGGACTGTGGAAATAATTTTAGACTTTGGGGGAGTAATGGAAATTGTGTTAACTCGTTAAGGAGAATAGATTTCCTCTGTGACAGAGTGAATTTTCGAAATTGACACGGTTATGTTGACATTTAGATATTAAGACAAATAGATTTTCTCTATGGCAGGGTGGGTTTTCGAAATTAACACAATTAACTTGAAATTTACATATTAGCAAGGATAAATTTTCTCTATAGCAGCGTGAATTATCAAAATTAACTCAATTAACTTGAAATTTAGATATTAAGAAAAATAGATTTTCTCTATTGCAGGGTGAATCTTCAAAATTAACACAATTAACTCGAAATTTAGATGTTAACAAAAATAGCGAAATCGCTGCTTTCTGCAGCGAAGTCTTCAATTTCACTGTGCAATGGCTCCGATAAAATCTATGTGTTTTTGCATGGAGAGAATTTAAGTTAATAAAATGGAGGAGGGCATTATGTGCACCGATTTGCAAGGGAACTTTTGATAAGAATTCGCGTTGTCTTTGGTGCTTATAAACCGTTTACATTTTGCCTGTTCATTTATGCTTTATTTCCATTTCACTTACATTCTCGCGTTTATTTATATTCTCAAAAAATAAATCTTTAAAGTTGGCAAATGCGAATGAACCACTCAAAGACAACCACGAAACTTACCAACCATCAAACCATCCCCAAACATTTCATATTTCATTTCTATTTCACTTCAGTTCTTTTATTTATCTCTGTTCTTAAAAAAAGAAAACAACTTCGCCGTTGAAAAACACGAGTGAACCACCCAGAGACAGCCGCGAAACATCCAAACCCTCGAACCATCTCCAAGAGTTAAAAATGAAATCCACGAAACTTCCATAAAATACCATAATCCTCCGGTGCACAAGCCACTTCGTTCCTCCCGTAACAATAACAATCGTTTCACGAAGCTTCAGTTCCGCAATCGGACTTATTATTTTATCCGTTCACCGACAATTTACCCCGGCGCGATCGAGGGTCGATCGACGCTCTCTCGTCGAGTATAAACGGTGGTCGCCCGGCGTGGAGGAGAAGAAAATTTACTCGGCAAATCGTGGAAAGTGTTTACCAGGGACGATTGGTCCTTCCCCGAACAGAGAGAACCACCGAGGAGGATAAGGGTCGCAAACTCTCTCTCGCAGCCCCCGCGCGTTGTTATTGTTCTACAGCTTATCGATTTGTCGCCAGTAGCCCTTCCCATTATATCCTGTAAACTTGACGTATAAACGGCCATTCTCTTGTGCTCTATTACTTGCTCGTAAAAGCAACAGCAACAACAGACATACACCGTGGGGGAGAGAGAGGGAGAGAAAGATGAAGAGAGAATAGGTCCCTCTTAATCGCTGAAACGCAATACAACGCGCAACTCCGCGTCCGACTTGCGACGCGTGACACGTGCATTGTGAATCGCGAGGAATTGTTCGGTGCACGAGTTAATTTCCATTGACATTGTGCTTGCTCACGGAAAACACGCTCATCCGCTCTCAAGCGAAGCGAGTTCAATGGAAACGCGACGCTTGATCTTTTAAGGCACGATTCAGTTTTTTTTTTTTAGGCTTGTGTCAGCTGGTTAGCGTTAATTTTGGGGCTCTGTTGTTTCGGCCTATTTTTTCGACTATTTTAGAGTGATTTTTTAGAATTACACAGTGCACAGTTGAAAATTTGAAATGGGACATGATTTAATTTTTGTAGGTTTGTGTCAGCTGGTTAGTGTTAATTTGGGTGTTAATTTTCGTCCTATTTTTTGAGACGATTGCAGTGTTTTCTATAAATTAGAAAGTGCATTGTATTCGTTAAAAGTCTGAGATAAAGTATTATTTATTTCGTCCTATTTTTTGGACTATTGTAGAACGATTTTTAAAAATGATACAGTGCATAGTTAAAAATTTGAAATAAGGTACGATTCAGTTTTCGTAGCTCGTATCAGCTGGCTGGAGTTAATTTGGAAGCTGTTGTTTCGTCCCATTTTTTGGTGAAATTGTACAGCGATTTTTAAAAATTGCGGAGTGCATGGTGTTCGTTAAAAGTTTGAGATAAAACGTTATTTAGGTAATATTATTTGTTCCCTTCTATTTTTTCGGACGATTGTGGAGCGATTTTTCAAAATTTCAGACGAATTGTTTACGTGAAATTATTTAGGTAATATTATTTAAGTTAATTTGCAACAAGAGGTGCGTAGGTTTTCGAGTTACGAGGGGAATTATGGATTTTCCGAGACGTCCAATGTAAGGGTTACTTTGAGATACGCAGGGAATGGAAATAGGAAAGTTTTAATTATATTAATACGGATATCGTCTGAAAATTGTGTCGAGTTGTATCTTTCGAATAATAGCTTAAATTAGGAAAGTTCTGATAAGTTTAAGAATGTTTGAATTAAACGAGTGGTGCACTTGGCGTGCTAATATATTTCAGTGAACGCTGAATTTCTATGGTGTATTGAAATTTTCGAATTACTGCATAAACCAATGCTATAATTATTTTAAACAACGCACAAACGAGTCCTAAATTTTTGATTAAATTTGAAAAATATATTCGTTGCTGATAATTAAAAGTAAACTACTTCGTTTCACTTTTGTTAATAATAACAGTACTTCGAAATTGTAATAATTAACGGAAAATAAAAATATTTCTTTATTTCGACAATAATCGTCTTGATAACTTTCAACAATTTAAAACAAGATCTGTGTAATTCCTCATGTTAACAGGTTCGCCTGTTCTCCAAGCCTAATGACTAACTCGTCAGCAATTCCCCAACTTTCAACACCCGTTTCGTTTCCTCAGAACGATCGCCGAAAAAAGGAAAACAAAGTACAATCTGAAATATTTAAATTGATTCAGCGATCAGGTCCAGAAATAGCTAATTTCAAACCCGCTACAAACTTCCACCTCTCTGACCGAGCAAAACAAAAAAGTGTAGCATGAAATACGACGTCACGGTTGGTTTCGACGTACGAGGTCAAGATTTCTCATTCATCTTCGACCATTCGTCTTCCTGAACGACCACGTGTTCACACCTTTCATTATCAACGCCGAAATCCAATGACGTTCACTTTCGACGAACGAAAGAAAGAGAGAAAGTTTGGAATGGCTAAATCCGGATAAGCAACTATCATATATCGATAAATTGTCAACAAGGACGTCCTTGGGTAGGTTGGTAGCACGGAGTCTTCGGTGGCCTTCGATGTGCAGCACCAAAGTTTGCAGTCCTCGCAAAGATGGGTGACCGTGGGAGGAAAACAAATTTCATATATAAATAAATAATAAAATAAACTTAATATAAGTACTTCTCATTATATATCGATCGATTTGTTATTATTCAGAGTGACATGTGATAATTCGACGAAAGGGGGATTTTCGTTGGATGATTGCCATAGGCGTAATTCAGAATGGTCATTGGAGGCTTTGATTCACGTCGATTATATCGTAGACGTTGATTTTCGATAGGGACACAGATTTTAAACCAGGTAAATTCGAACGTTCGAGGTTACACGGGCAAAATTAACGCCCGTCTAGGTGGAATTTTAAAATAGTCAGACAGTATTGACAAATGCTACGCAAACAGAACGAAATCGGCTGTTGCATGCTCATATGTTTATTTGAACACGTTATATTATGTTAAATCGACACAGGGGATATACGGAAGGCGAGACGATTCATTTTTCACGCGAAGGAGTATCGCAAATAGTGTCCAACGCACGCCAACTTAATTACCATCGATTATTGTTTTCGGTTTAACGAAGTTGCTGACGACGTGGCCCACACGTTTCACAGTGATAGCTTTTGAAATGGACAAAATGCATCTTTTCTTCAAAATGGGACAAATTGTTCTTTTTTTTTAAATATCTATGTGAACTTTTCTAATCATTTCTCTTTGTTAATATTTTCTCGTTTATCACAATCTACCTAATACCATTAACAGTAATTTTCCTTTCATACTTCAGGAATGTAAATAAATTTCCCAATCTAGCGCATTAATCTACCGCGAAATGTAGGGCGATTTAATTATTCCGAATGCAAACGAACGAACTAACTGGTAATTCAAATGGAACGATTTAATACCACACATAGTTGTCGTAATCCATCATAATTTCGTGCAATTGTATTCAATACGTAATCTACTCGAAGAAAAGTGATTCGAATTTACCGCGCGGTGTAATGGGCAGCGGTAAAGCTAAAGCGCGATTGGTCAGCCAATGACGTGCCGCTGTTGCGCGTGATGTTCAACGACGCCGTGACGCGTCGCTGGTGTTGCGCGGCGAACACGCAGCAGCGGCGCGCACAGCGCCGCGCATCGACGGAATAGAGCGAGACCGGACGTGAGAGAGAACGAGGCAGATTCGTTCGCGTTCCGCCGAGGTGGTGCAGTTTTCCAGTGTCGCGTAGAGTGTAGTGTTTTTCTTCCTTTCCCCCGTTTCCGAGCATCGAGTGTAGTGTGCGTCACGGTGAGGCGAAGCAGACCTATCCCCGATGATTAAGGAGTGCATTTAGGTAATTAAGAATTTTCTCATACGGCCGCGCCCCATTAAAATGCGATCCTCGTTCCTTTGGGACGCCTCGCAACGAGGAACGGGGACTACGGTGCGCCACCATAGCGCACACGCCGCGCCGGCGTTATTATCGTCGGTTCGTTCCCTCGGAATTATTCTAGAGAATTACGTGTTAGACGCGGGCGGCCAGTGTTTCGTGAATAATCACGATCGTCGTTTTCCGTCTCGGTTAATCGCGTGTGCCGCGAAATCGTACGCAAAGTGTGCACGAGAGTAGAAAAGGGGAAAAAAGTACGGTGTGCCGCCGGGAAGTAGGCGATTTGCAGAGAGGCAGCGTGGTATGACGCCGCGTCAATGTCGTTTCGTGGTTCGAAAGAGTCGCGATCGGAGAAGTTCGTAAGGAAACGGAGACCCGAACACACGACTCGCTCTCTCCCTTTTCCTTCGTGGTGCGCGCGAACAACGTGTGCTACGTAGATACGAAAATAATGGTGCGTTCTTGGCTGTCCTTATCGGCTGAGCGAGGCGCGGAACCAGTGGCAGTGTGAATGCAGTGTTTTCGTTGGTCGCGCGTGTATCTCACGTTGTATCTCTTCTCGTATTTCGTCGCGCGACGGTAATACGCGTCGGCTGCGTAATTTAAACGGACACGGAATATAAAGGCGGACAGCGAGGAAGATAGGAAGCTGGTGCTGGCAAATCGAACGATCGGTTCTTTTCCCCCCTACTCCGGATATTAACGAAAGAGGGAGAGAAGGAGAGAGACAGAGCGAGATAGTAGAGATGAATGGCTCTGTGTGTGTATGTGTGTGTGCGAGCGTGTAAGAGAGACAGACAGTCCTAGCCTCGTGATTGGTTTTCTCTCGCGACTGTACCGCTTCTGGTCGTCGACTTGTATCTGCGTACCTTTTTCCACGCACTCGATGCGCACCACATATATAACCACCGCGTGCTACTGTCTCTACGAAACAATGTTGCTTTTCGCTCCATGGTTTTGCTCCCGAAAGTGAAGAACACCGACTGATATACATACGCGCCTTTAAATATGATCTTCCATTAGAGAAACTGAATGTTTATACGTTACAACTTGAACACGTTTTCCGTACAATCCCCGATCGAATTTCTCGTCGTAATTGTTTACCGCGCTGTATACGTTCACCCTCGAATCGTATTCGACTACATCACAATTAACCGTGTTAAATTACGACGCGTAGGAAAGGGTAATATGAAAGCTCACAAAAGAGATAATACGTAGACACGTATAGTACACCTAGTTTAAAATTGAATCCTAAACGAGCAGTTCCCCTTTCTTTCTTTTTAATAATTTTCGTTTGTCTTGTAAACTGATAACGTATGAATCGCTAGCAAAGCGGAATAGAACTATCTCGTCGTGAAACTTGTTGGGCGTTGCATTTATGGAAAAGCCGGTTTGGGTGTTATATAAAGCCCCCTCTCTCCCCGGTACGGTTTGTTTGTGGTGCGAATGAACTATCGTTGAACGAGGGAATTTTGCGGGAATCGTTGATAAGCTAACAACACGAGACTCGTTTCTTCTCTCGTTGTAAGCTGCTAACAGATTCAAACATTTCAAACATAAATCACAAACGTTAAACGGCGATCAAACAAGAAACCAGGAACAAGAGCACACTTGAAATTCCACGTATCGCGTATCACATCCGTTACAATCGTTTCGAACGTTCCTATACACAGGAGCGGCGCGGGTAAGGGAGAAACACGTAGATTGACAAATCGTGGCGATTCCGTGCACCGGATCCGCGCGTGGATTACGGATGGATCGTGTGATTCCGTGAACGTTACGCAATGTCTGGTGCAACGACCGGCGCGCGCGTTACATTGGAAAAACGACGCTTTTACGGGCAAAGCGGGAAGAGAGCCCCAACGTGTGCAAGGATCGCGCGCTCTCGCCGGTTCGCCGGTTTCAAACGATTGGACCATTCCGCGTTCGTTAAGTGCGCACACACGCAGACTGCGCACGCGCGTCTAACGGAACGCAGATTGCACTAAATTCCACAGTCCAATTGCATTGCGGACAGCAGCAGAGCGAAACGGTCACAGTCGCCCAGTGTATAGACGCGTGGCCAATTAGAAAGACAGGGAAGGCTAAATATAGTGCGTTAGCGTTAACAGAGCTTTTCAATTTGTGATTCAGATATCTCGCGATGCGTCGTTGTCCCGGTAATTAGCGTCGTATCTCGCGTTAGGCACAGCCTATTGGTATAACTCCGACGCCACACACCGCTGCGTGTATTTTCGGTGAATACGAATGCGTTGGATGAAAGTTGGACCGCGGATGTATTTTCATTAATCAAGCCTCCTTCGTATTGAAACGCTTGGCAGGTCAGTGAAGTACGAGACACGATATTTATGACACGAGTACTTGGCCCGTTTGGTTCGTGTGTCGCGGATAATACAAATCGTGTATTTATTTACTTTCGTCGGTAATATTTTGGTTTTTTTTCGATACACTCTTTTTTCTGCCTTACGTCTGGTGGAAATTAATTTGATGAAATTGTAAACTGACGATGATTGTATTGAATTGATATTTATTTTTATTTTACTATGTTTCAAGCGGTGTTTGTTGAAAAGTTAGCTTTGAATATTTGATTAAAGAACATTCCGTAAAAGTTGATTGGAAATTCCAGTGTTTTCGAGGTTTTCATTTTATAAATCAAATAGTTCAGCAACCTTTCTCTTTTTTTTTAATTAAAAAATAATTTTTGCATTTACAGATTTTTCGAAAAATGCTTCGAAATTTCCTTCACGTTCTGAATTCTCGGTCGATAGATTGTCAGTGTGAACGTTAATTAAAAATATTTCGATTTGAATATTAATTTCGATAAACGCGCGCACTTTGCGATATTATCGCTCGCCATTAGATACACGTAAAGATAGGCATATAGCGTTATTGATGATCGATAAAGATCGTATGATCCACTTTCGTGATCTAACAGAAGCTTACTCGTGCAATCCTTCGTCGTCACGACCTAACGAGCAAAAATACGCGTCTTTGATCCACGCTGTCGCATGTTTTTATCAACCTAGTGACATCAGTGCCATCTGTCAACGACACGGAAAATTCAGTGAATTGAAAAAAGTCGTACGGTTCGACACATCAATATTACATTATCACTGTTTGTTCGAATCGTTGCTCAGAGATTTAGTGTTCGTGGTGATATGAGGAATGAATATATATACAGTAAATTTCACGTAAAACCGTACAGTATATGTTGCTATAAAAAGTCACGACTGTAAAATGTTTCGAGGAAACGCTCAAAAGATAAAATTAATAGAACAATAAATACAGAAATATTTTTGTAAAATACTACTCTCTGTTTAAAAAATAGAAATGTCGATATTGTTTAATAAGATATTTCAATATTTAATAGAACGATCTATTTATTTTAATGTAATTCGAAAAAATTAAACATTTCTGGTAATTATGTATTTTCGGTAAATATTTACAGTAGTTATAAAATGCAACGAAAACGATCTGTATTTTCTTGAATTTGCAAACAACAGTATCCTTGAGTAAACTTTTTTATAACGATAATATTTATCTCCTTGAACCAAATAACTTGTTTTTACAACATTGTATATTTCATGATAGTAACAACAACAATATTTTGTATTATCAAAGTTAGTACATATTTCGCAAGTTTTACCAACACATTTTTCCAATCTTTTTAATTCCAGATCTATATAACCTCAAATGATACACACTCTAAACATAGACTTTTTGCTTCAACAGATACAATATTTATATCAATAGATACAATTAACGAATTCTCTCTTAATAACACACATTTATTATTTATTCCCATAATCGAACATAGCCGAGATAATAAAAAAAGGAACACTCAGATAAGCAAAATCATCGAGCCAAAGAAATGCAAATAAATCCGAATCCCCGATTCAACAAATCAAATCTCGCGGGCTTTACCAAGTTGACTAAACTTTTTCATTCATCGTATCACACGAAAACATCCTACTGGTAAATACCACTCGTTAATTTCACCATAAATTTCCCCATTCCGTTAGACGCCACGGTACGAAAAATTGCGGATCGATTTGACGCAAAAATACCCGCCTAAAAGGCTCGTGTAACCGTTGCGAAAAAAAAGTGGAGCATGGGTCAATATTACGCGCGAGTATCGCGTAACGTGTACGCAGCGTTATTGCGCGAAAATCCCCGGTAGACGTAAAAAGAAAGAAAGGGAAAAAAATGTGGAATATACCGGCTTACCGGTATATCCGATCGATATATCGGCTCGCCGTAGAAAAAGGTCTTAGGCCAAGAGATAACCGCGCGGTTCTCTTCTGTATGCATTTCCAATAGGAACGCGTGTCTCTTTGTCGAAACAGTGTTTTCGCTACGTGTATACACGACACGCAGAGAGCCCTAGACGTGCCAAGCTAAAAGCGCGTTCGCAACGGACAGAGCAAGAAACCCGTCTGACGCACTTTTAGCAGCGCGCGCGCGGCCCCCTAGCCAATAGGTGGGGGGCATTCAGCCAGGGGCGTAGCATTGAACACGGGGGACCCTTTCCGTTTCTAAAGAATGGAGGATCGCTTGTGTTTATGAAGCACGACCGGTTGCAGTGTGTGTACTGGGTGGTCCATTAGAAAGGGAACACTGGTTCGTTCCGTATTATCGTTAAGAACAAAGCGCGAAATGGTTTTAGATCGCAGGAGCGATTGTTCCGGGGTGCGCGACGGCGCGAAGATCGATGCGTGAGGCGGTTTTGGCGGGATTTTTCGTCCGTTTGAAACGAATGTTAAGGGTTTGAGGAATATTTTTATTCGGGGATACTTGTTTTCGAATAAATAGTTATTTTCTTTTTTCTTTGTGATTTAGAGGGGAATATTGGGTGATGGAAATTTTCATTGAATGATGATTTGTGGGTAATGATCAAATAACAGCTGGTTTGGATGTGTGACGGTATTGTTGAAATAACGATTCGAGCAATATGCTTGTTACAT